TCATGCATCTTAGTGACCTTGAAGGAATGTAAAGGATTAGATGAGCTGTTGCTGTTGCTTGATTTCATTAGCTTAGATTCATGCATTATGACTAAATCTGGAGGCAGGTGAGTTTGCCACTATTGAAATAATTGCTAACTAAGCACGGGTGTGAAATTATGCATGTTGTAAAAAATACAAAGATTGTCATTAAAGGCTTTGCAACTCATACCTTGTCTTTCTTTGTTTAGCCCCATCTGGTGTCTCTGAAGACAAAAAAATATACATTTGGAAAAAAAAAAACATGTGCACTCTTAATAGTTTCTATATCTTCCCCTGGACCCAAACAGCTGGCTATGGCTGGAGAAAAATCCACAGGCGTGCTGACAGCTCTCACTTTAGATTCAAAACCACAGACCTCAAAAACCCTCAGTCGGCCTGGCCGCCTTGGTCACCTCTCTGCAACCCTTCTTGTGGTGTCCCCACTCTCCAAAATGACTATTTTACCTCTCATCCCCTCTCTTCAAAGCCCAGCACACTCCCCGACAGTCACCGTCCACCCCTGTCTGCTCTCAGTGGATGGCCTGGCCTCACAGGACACTGAGAGAATGGAAGCAACCTCACAGGAAATTCTCCCTCCTCCCCCATAACAGTGCTCCCACCTTCCCTGGGCCGTCCTCCCTTCCTCTGCTCCTGCCCATGGCAGTGTCTCTGCATGCAGTCTCCATCGCATCCCTCTCATCCTCCAGCTTAGGCTGAGTGTTTCCTGCATCCTTGGTTTCTCCTCTCTGCGGCATCACCCCCGGGACTGTACAAACTGCCCCGGTAACCCCCCACCTTACAAAGAACTCCTCACTGGCCCTACAACACCCTCCAACAACAGCATCACTCCTGCTCCCCGTCACAGCAAGACTCCTGGGATGAGACCTCTCTACTCACCAACTCCAGTGCTCACCTCTCACTCTCTTCTCCACCCTTCTGCACCTGGCTGCTAGCCTCACTCAGCTAAAACCGTGCCTCGGGGACTCCACCCAGGACTCCTTGGGGCCATTCTAGCCATCAGCTGTGCTCTGTTCATCTTACCAGATCTCTCAGCAGCACTTGACAAAGTGAACTACCTCCTGCTACAGAAAACTGTCTCTCTCTCAGCTTCTCCTCGTTTACATCCTGTCTCACTGATCACTCCTTCTCAGTCCTTCTTGGGTGGCTCTCTCTCTGATATTTCATTTCTAACTGTAGGAGTACCCCGGGCTCAAGCCTATACCCATTTGATAGACTACATATTTTACTTATTTGTCCTTCTTGCTGAAAGATAACTTCCAAAAGAACAGAGTCTATTCCCACTTCTTAAAGACATTGAAATAATGCCAATCTTTCCCCAAATTTGCAAGTACAGTACAAAGGCATTTTATTTTTTCTGAACAGTTTGAGAGTCAATTGCCCACATGGTGCCCAGTGGCCCAGAATGCTTCAGTGTGAATTCCTCAAAGCAAAACATAACCTCAAGGCATCATCCGAATCTGGAAGCTAACATGGACGCATTCCTGCCACCTAATCTCAGATCCAATCAATTTCACCAGTGTCCCCGTAAGTCCTTCAGAATAAAGAGCCAATTCAGAATCATGTGCTGTATTTGCTCATCACGTTTTTTTAATTCCCTTCAACCTGGATCATTTCTTCAGGTGTTTTTCCTTGACTTTGTGACTTGAACATTTTGAAGACAGCAGGCCAGTTATGTGGTGAAATGTCCTGAGGTTCTCCTGCTGTCCTCTGGTTGGACTAGCTCATGCATCCTTTGCGGGAATACACAGAGGTGATGCTGGCTCTTCTCACTGTATCCTCTCGGTGGTGAGCAGCCTGAAAGGTCTATTACTGATGGTGTTCACCTCGACCACTTGATTAAGGTGATGTCTGCAAGTTACCTCCCCTGTAAAGTATTTGGGAGGGGAAAGGCACTTTGAGCCTGTTCTTCATCAAATTTTCACCTTACGCGTTCATTTATTGTATCAGTATGGACCCATGGCTTCCTATTTATTCAAATTGTAGGGGGTTATAATCCATGACTATCATGTACTTGGAGGTTGACATTGCTCCTGATTTGGCCAGTAGAGCCCCTGCAGGCCAGCATCTGTGTCACTTTGCCATGTCCCCATCATTCTCTGAGCACTCCCTTGTTTTCTGGCACAGATGTTCTAAGGCTCACATTGTTCTTTCCCTGCTCCAGCCCTGGAATCAGCCATTTCTCCAAAAAGCCCAATTTCTCACGGTGGATATTTGTATTTAAAAATGCAGATCTGGGCCCTAGAGTGCCACTGTTCCCAGGTCCCATCAATGGACAGAGCTAGAGGGTATATCTACTTACACAATATTTATCCCCATATCTGTCTATTGATACTGAATCACATCACTACCTCCAGTTCCACTCCCACACCGCAGGGGCCATTCTAGTGTTCTCCTTTTCCATGTTGGCAGCTCCCTTCTCTGACAGTGAGAAACCTGGTACCCATTGTCCTTACACTGTATCCTTACTACATGTATGTATCTGATGAACTTGCCTGTATGTAACCAGTCTCCCAACACTGCCACACCATGGAGTAGATGCTCTCCGCTCTGGCTCTGACACCCCTCTTGGGCTACCCTCCCCCACATCCGGACACCCTTTTACCATGTTACATCTCTGACAGACCATGCTGGGCCACTGTCCTGATAGCAAGGAGGGCAGAAATGTGTTACTCTTGTTTACACCCATATCCCAAGTACCTAGAACAGTGCCTGGAACCTGACACATGCTCTATAAATACCAGTTGATTGAATGGATCTCCTTCTGATTATTTAGTATATTCCTCCATGTTGAGCATTCTAATTTTTTTCTTACTTTTCAAGCCCACATGATTCCAGTACAGGGGCTTCTGGGATTCCAAGGTCAGGTCTCACTCTATGTGTCTGTAGTGCATAGATCAGCAGGGGAGGGCAGCAGAGGGCCACAACACAGGTGTAGCCTTGGCTTCAAGATTTGGGGAGCATTCTGACACGAACAAATCCAGGAAGAATATGGGTTTACTCCTATCAGGATATCCAGAGGTGTACAAAGAATGGGTCAAGCAGAGGAGAGAGACTTGAAGAGTGACAGCTGAGATACAGAGATGAGATATAGCCAAGAACAACCAGGTTAGCCCAAAAACACAGACTGAATGAAGAAACAACCAGAGATGAGCAAAAGTCGGCTGATGAGGGAATGCAATTCTTGGTCGAGATTTTGCATAGTGTTTTTGATAAATATCATTTCTTACCTATACCTGTTATATTATTACAATCAAGTTCCCAAACCAAATTTCTACTCTTAGTCTGGGAATGGAATAAAAATATCAATGTTTGATCATTTAAAGAAGAAACTCAATTCCTATTTTGGTTTCTTCCCAGATTATTTGAAACACAGAATGATATTCCAGATGATAACTGAGCTCTTCATGTGGCACTAATTATAACTAAGCTCTGAGCACATTCCTTGCATTTCTATTCCTTGGACTCATTTAAAAAGTATTTTCTTAGAAGTTGCTAAAGGGAATTACTAAAAATTATAATGAAGACTGACTAACGTCATTCACAATGTTTTTCAATTAAATGCATGTATATCACACAAATTACCTTTTAAAGTCAATTTTAATTTTAGCAAGGTTATAAATGCTCAGTGTTTACAGAGTCAGACGGTTCTACAAGGTTGGTCATTAAAGATGTATCTCAGGGCCAGCCTGGTGGCATAGTGGTTAAGTTCATGCACTCCGCTTCTGCAGGCTGAGGGGTTCACTGGTTCAATTGCCAGGTGCAGAGGAATGCACAGCTCATCAGGCCATGCGGTGCAGCTTCCCACATACAAAATGGAGGGAGATGGGCACGGATCCTAGCTCAGGGCCAATCTTCTTCAGCAAATAGAGAACTGGCAAGAGATGTTAGCTCAAGTCCAGTCTCCGTCACTAAAGAAAGAAAAAAGATGTATCTCCCTAATTCTCCCCCTTCACATGCAACCACTTTCTACTCTTAGCTTAACGTTAATATTTTTATATTTACTTCCATGCTTTTAAGTATTAGACTTACATCGGTCCTTCTTGGTTTTTCCATTTTAGGATATTGACTTCCCACTACAGAAGTTAAGGATTAAGGTCTATTTCCTCCTCCCCCATCTCCGTCACACAGGGCATCCTACCCCAAAGCCCATTCTTCCAATGTAATTATATTATTGTTTTAGAGCAATACTCGGCATTTACATAACCAGAAATACAATTACTTCCTTCTCTTATACAAGATTGCATTTTCCCCAGAGCTGATAACCGCGTGATTCTTAAATTTGCTCGGTTTTTTGTGTATCCATCTTAGTTCAACTCCCAAACTTTAGGTCTCATACTTTTTTGGGTACGTGGCCTGTCTGAAATCACCTCTATCCTGCTCACACATTTGGGTGAATGTTGGCTGGTACGGAATATAAGTGGGAATTAATTTTCCTCCCGTATTTTCGAGGTGGTCCATCCAATGGGGCTACCTACGGCGTCCACTCCGGTTCGCTGACCAGGACACGAACCGCGCCGGCAGGAGGGCGCGGACCCGAACCCCGGACCGTCAATCCCGTTGGAGTCCCTTCATTCGGCGCCGCGGCCATCAGCGGCACCGACGGGCAACGGAGGGCGGCCCGTGTCCGTGAGGGACCTCGGCCCCTACCGAGGAGAGCGCGAGAAGGGTGGGGGGCACGAGGAGGGGGAGGGCAGCGACGGCTGTGGAGGGCAAGGAGGCTTCTTGACTTTGACTTCAGACTCGGGACGCCAGGCGATGACGACGTTGGCTGCAAAAGCCAAGAGCCAAGAGGCCTGGCGCCCGAGCGGCCAACCAGACACCCCCGTTCCGGCAGACCCTGCGGCCCACGCCAGTACCCCCCGGCGCAGCGCGCGCGTGCGCAGTGTGCGAGCGCTCTTGGCGCCTGCGCACGTCGTCGACACCGCCCACTTCCGCCCCGCCCTCCGCGCGGCCGACTTCCGGGGCGCGGCCGCGCGCGCTGACCGCTCCTCCCTCGGCCGCACGCCGGCGCCTGGGCCCGCGGAGGAGCGGGGTCTGAGGGCAGCGGCCACCCGCCCGGCCCGGCTCTTTCCCTGGCGGCGGCGGCTTCTTCCGTGGGACAATATGTTCAAGAGAATGGCCGAATTTGGGCCTGACTCCGGCGGAAGAGTGAAGGTCGGTGCCCGCCCGCGCGGCCCTCGCGCCGTCCGGGGTCGAGCGCGGGCCCCGGCGGAGAGGCGGGCTTCGTCGTCGGTCCCCCGTCGCGGGGGCAGGGC